TGAAGAAAATTCGCAAAACTTGGATAAACTTGAGATGAATTTGAAAAATCCAAAGATTCTTGTTATAGTAGATGGTAATCAAAGAAATTAGCATAAAAGAAAGTATGATGGTAAAAATGACAATTCTAAGATAAGGCATAAACAAGCTCATAAGCAAAAGGAAGTTGCTAATACTTGCTGGAAGTGCACTAAGAATAGTCATCTCAAGAAACGAAGCAAGATGTATCTCAAGAAGCAACAACAAAGTGAATGAGCTAACATAGCGGTCAATAAAGAATTTGTGGCAATGATCATTGAAGCCAGCATTGTGATTATGAAGCAGAGTGGTGGATCAATTCTGGTGCTACAGAGGCATATTTCTTGTAATCGAAATTTGTTCAAATCCTATGAGTAAATTAGTGGTGGGGAAGAACTTTTTATGGGTAAGTCCTCCACTGTTAAGATCGTAGTAAAGGATAGAATTATTCTCCCCTTCACATTTGGAAAAGTCGACACTAATGATATACTTCATGTTCCTAATATAGGGAAGAATCCAGAGTTTGCAAATGTTCCTAACAAGTATGGGTTCATAGTGTTGTTTGAAAGCGACCATGTTATTGGTAGAGGGTAAATAAAACAAAGTTGCAGTACACAACTATCAAGTTATAGTATAAAAAAATGTTGATCCCTCAAGGAAGGTGTGTAAAGATAATTCTAAAATGATTCACTAGTAGAAAATCACGTATTCTAGACATAATATTCTAGACGGAATTTTTTCCGTCTAGAATGTATTAAACTAGACAGAAATTTTCCGTCTAGAATATTCCGTCTAGAATAAAACATTCTAGACGAAAAATTCCGTCTAGAATAGTATCCTAAACGGTTCCTTTATTTTTTTATTTTTAAAAAATAACCAGGTATTCTAGACAAAAATTTTCGTCTAGAATAGTATCCTAGACGGAAATTTCCATCTAGAATACATAGACCAATTTTTTTTAAAAAATTCACCAAATAAACCCGCGAATGCCCTCCTTTCCCCCCTAAAACGAATAATTCATCCCCAGATTTGTTTTCATTTCAGGAACCCCCCTCCTACTCCTCCCTCTCCCTCTCCCCCATCTCCGGCGCCGTCAGCATCAACCCCTCCGCCATCTCATTCAGCAACCCCGGCATATTAAACAGCGCCTCCTCGTCCACGAACACCGCTGGCGGCGGCCGCGACGACAATGTCGACGGAGAAGGCATCGGTTGCCTCGGCGAAGACACCACTGGCCTGAACCTCTCCGCCGCCTCCGACGCAACACGCCGTATCTCCTCCGCGCTGCTCGACGCCACACGCGGCAGCATCCACGCGGAGTCTTCGAAGTTGAGCGGGGCCGACTTCCCTCTCAAAGCGATTGCCGCCACGTCGTGTGCTCTGGCGGCCATCTCGGGGGTAGGATAGGTGCCCAGCCATATCCTGGTCTTCTTGTTCAGCTCCCGAACTTCGCACACCCATTTCCCGCCATTGCGCTTCCTGACGCCTCGGTACACAAGGTGGCGGGTTTCTAGCTGTGGCTGTGAGTTTTACTTGACTACGCTGTCGAATGTTGAATGTTGAATTCTTGCTGTGGCTGTGAGTTTTACTTGACTACGCTGTCGAATGTTGAATGTTGAATTCTTGCTGTGGCTGTGAGTTTGTGTTTAAAATGAGAAATGCATGCCGACTGTTTGTTAAAATGCCTGTGTGAGTTTATCTGAATGAAATTGATCTTTACTTTGTGATTTATGTTTGTGAAGTGCCTCTACAAAGAGTGGAGAGGCATTTTGGGATGGAGGTTTGATCTACATCCATTCTTGGCAAAATCATGGAAGGAACAAAAATCAATTTCATTCAGATCGGTGAGATATTCATCCTACCTGCAAGACTACAAATTTCGAGATTCACTAGTTATGTTACAACATTTAATTTCAAATACATCTTGAAGGATTCAACATATTTTTTTCTTGTGTATCTGTCATATGTTGTAAAAATTAAATGTTTTGAAATTTTACTAAATTTGCTTAATTTCTTTGGCACCGTTATACTTATTATAATGCATGAAAATCATTGGATTTTTTTTGTTTTTATTTTTGGATGGTTCGTGTGTATTACATATTTACATTGCATCCAACCGCACATATTTTCAATTTGGAAATTTTCAAATTCTAGTTTTGGACTGATAGTATCCACATATTGAATACCGTCAATATGAGCCTATCTCAACTGGAGTCTCTTGAAGTATTACTATCAAAGGAGCTACATAAGATTGTTAATTGTTAGCTTTATTAGTTTCGCTCAATTTGGCCAAATATCAACTGAAAATCTTGTTGGTCAGCTGTTGATAACTTTGCATTTCGATTCTTTCTTCTTACTCCATCCTAGATTGTCGTCAGTTGTGTTACCTAACACACGTATACATAAAATCAACGAGATGAATTATATTATTCTAATTTTTTATTTAGTAGTCTTTCTGTATTTTATTTAGTAACATGGTGAACTTCTTAAATTCTTTAAAGAAAAAATTAAAATACACCGAGAATATTTCACAAACTGTTCTAACCAAGTTCTTTTTTCTTCTTGTTTTTCTAACTAGTACAAAACAGATCTGTCCAAACGGTTGGAACCGTTTGGGCAAATGCAGTCCCAAACGGTTACAACCGTTTGGGTGAAAAAAAACTCGTTTGGGCTAAAGCCGTTGGGGATGAGTTTTCCCCAACGGTCGTCCAAACGGTTGTAACCGTTTGGACAGAGTACCAAACAGTTACAACCGTTTGGGATTTTTCCCAAACGGTTGTAACCGTTTGGGATGTAAAAACTGTCCAAACGGTTGGAACCGTTTGGACAGTTTTTTGTCCAAACGGTTTCACCCGTTTGGACAAAATCTGTCCAAATAGTTGCAACCATTTGGACAAAACTCTGTCCAAACGGTTTAAACCGTTTGGCATGTTGATTTTTAATATTTTTTTAATTTTGGTTGTTTTATTAATCTATCTGTTTACATTTAATATACACATCTCACATAATGATTTCTCAATATCTCACAATGAAATTGAAAATATATTCATACACAAAAATGTCTCAAACGATACTAAATATCCAATATTATATATACATACACAATGATTACTCAATATATAATATTAGAGACAAAACATACACATGTAATGATTACTCAATATCTATGTTGAGTAATTTCAAAAGAGAGGTATCATATAATCCCATTCAATTCCACTATCTGAACATTCATTCTCGGTAACAAGTGTACAACCAAAGTAGAAACCAACCAATAGGAGACTCATGTTCTCTTCATCCACCACCTCGTCTTCATCCTCACCAGCGGCAATCTTCATCTTCTTCACAGATTGAGCAGCATCGCTCCTCACTTTAGCAGGGATCTCAATCAAAATATCTGATTTCTGGCCAGTAGAAGCATTCACCAGATCTCCATTCTTCTCCACTCTATACGACAACTCTTTCTTTCCAACAATTGTATCGATATAAACAGTGGAGTTCTCATCTATCTATTTCCTTATCAGCATCTTGGAGAGCTGGGTCACCACCATCTTCTCTAGTCACCTCCTAATTGGCCTTGCATCATACACCTACAACACAAAGCAGCAGGTAAGCAATCTCTTTCGTGAAAAGTCACACAGGCTAAAGGACATTTGTGGAGAGTATGTACTTACTGGATCATAAGAGCATACATGATGACCAATTGTGTACACCAATTAATTTAATTATAGCCAAAGCAAGAGCACTTTGATGACATATTTATGCATACATGATGACCAAATATGTTTGTGAACTCTGTTCTATATTTATTCAGATTATTCAGATAGAAAATGAAATAAGATTCAACTGCATCTACTGTGAATGGTAAAATATCTGGCACTCATGGTAGCTCGGGTCTACAATTCCAATAGTCAACTGCATCTACTGTGAATGGTAAAATATCTGGCACTCATGGTAGCTCGGGTCTACAATTCCAATAGTTGTGTTTGAAGAAAATCAAATTACCATGATGTTGGGAGCAAAAGCCTCCAAACATGATCATGATAAATGTTTCCATAGACTAATACTAATGTGCTTGTTAATCTGCGCAGAAGTACACATAACAGAGTTTGTTCCCATTATTTGTAGTAAACATTACGATGTGAAAAGGTTGCCAACAGGTTAAAATCATCACTTACGATGATGGAAGATCAGGGTCTGAAATGGCTTCAGTAAGCATGCACTTATGGTCCTAAATATTTTGTTTCATTTCTCGTGACAGCTTCTCCTACCCTTAAGCTTCACAAAGATTGGATGGTAAGCCCTAGCAACAAAAACCTGATCTTTCATTCTCTTCACCAGTGAATATTTCATCACTTCTTTATGTTCTTGGGACCAAAGGCAGTAGCTCCCAAATTGTAGCTGACAGGATTTCTGAGTTGCAACACCATATGAACCTTTGTGAATATTCTTCTTGCCGGCTTCCTCACCATCCTAGCAAAATATATTAAAGAAACAGTTCAAGAAAAATGTTGAAATACTTGGAAAGAAGCCAAATTGCTACAAGTAGTTGCCACAATTCATAACACAACTAACTAACAAAACATTTCATTTAGAAAGTTACTGAAATGCATAACTGCAAGTATTTAATCTTTATTGACTTACCCATTCTTTTTTTTATAAAAGCACATGAAAGTTTTTGAAAGAATAATGAACAATTGATATCATCTAGAAGGGGATCAACCAACAGTCAAATAGCATAAAAAGAATGAAAAGCAAGAAAGACAGAAAACTGACAATGTCAAGCCTCTGACCCATGCGCGCCTTGGCGCGATAACCACTGCTAAATAACTACCCATCATTACATTTGACTTCCATGACCCACCTTATAAACTCATCCATAATTCTGTAAATTTCTGATGCAAGACAAATAAATGGGTACTACAATCACCTGACCTCAAAAATATGACGTCTTCATCTCTGTTGTGTTATGAAAGTCAATAATATGATGGGTAGTTATCACCTGTATAGGTTGCTCGACCATGTAATTTTGACGCCCAATTCTATGCATTACGTCTTGCCTCATCCTACATGTTATTATTATATTTAGATTTGTAATCAAACAAAGGTAAAATTAATTACCTACTAAACATTTTAGTTAAAACTATACACCCTCTTGTCCTCTTAATCATAATAAGCGCACAAATCACCTTCTTCTCAACACTTGTGTTCTGCCTGCAAACAATATTGGCACTCCCAATATCTCCTCTTGTCGAAAACTTAACACCTTCTATAGTCACCGAAATAACAACTGCATCCCAGATTAAAGGTGTTCAAACAAAATGCAATTTGAATTTTTTTTCTTTTGAAACCTAGATTAATTCAGCACAAAAATCGCGGAATTTTTTTCTTCCTTGTTTATTGTTGGCGCACTGTATTATGGGAACTCAGTAATTGGAAGAAAGCTGCATTGGCAATCTTACTCTTCTTCGGTTACTTATCCAAGCTTGCCCTGGCATTTGTATTTCATTTCATTGGTGATCCAATCACTGGATTTATAAGAATTATCGAGTCCTCTCTCTATCTTGTTCGTGACATCTACTTTAGCATTATAGCTTTTGCGCCTGTTCCGGAACTGACAAGAATTATCTTATTTGCATCAACGATATTGGCCATTGGTGAAGCTGCAGTCCCTGATTCAGTGAACAGTCAACCATATCTTCTCACTTTAGCTGGGATTGTTGGGTTTGGGGCCGTTAAGGGGGTTATTCTTGAGCCATTCTTTTGGTTATTTCTTGTTGGTATATTCTGCTTCTCTCGGTTTATTAAGAAGAGAGATAGTACATCAGCAGCTCTCCCATCTGCGGCTGTTTTGGCTGCTATTGGGGAGCCTTGGCTGAGGGGTTTAACTATGGTTTCTTACCTAGCCCTTGCTATTGTTTAGAATTCTAAGTCATCAGAAGAGGCTGTAAACGTTGAAGTTTCATTGAAACAGAGGAAGCTTCCGCTGCCACTTCTACTAGCTGCTTTATCTATTGGTATTCATGTTGCTGCTAAGTGGATCAGAAGCTTCTGCAGTGTCATAGCCATTGTAAATAATTTATGTAAAAGTTTGTAAACAATTTATGTATCTCTCTACTATTTTGGTGAATGTATTATTTGAATATAATAAAATTTTATATTGGAATATAATTAGACTGTATTGGATATGAATATAATTTATTGTTCAATATTGTGTATATGCACTCAAAGTAGATTCTGCAAAAAAAAAAAAAAAAAACTACTGTAGCATAGCATCCTAGATGGAAATTCCGTCTAGGATGCTCAAATTCCGTCTAGGATAGCTTTTTTTTTAAAAAAAAAATTTTTAAAAATTAAAAACATCCTTCCGTCTAGGATGAGTATCCTAGACGAAAATTTCAGTCTAAAATAATCATCCTAGACGGAAATTTTTCCGTCTAGGATGAGTATTCTAGACGGAAATTTCCGTCTAGAATATTCCGTCTATGATGTATTCTAGACGGAATTTCCGCCTAGAATACTACATCCTAGACGAAAACTTCCTAGACGCGTATTCTAGACGGAATTCCGTCTAGAATACATATCCTAGACGGAATTCTAAGTATCCTAGACGGAATTTTCCGTCTAGGATATACCTTATTTTTTACTTGTGATTCTTAGAGTTGTGTTGATAATTATGAGTAAAAGTATAAACGTGGAGAGATATAAGGAAAGTGTGTGATTATTTGTAAATAAAAGATAACTAGAACAAGAGGGAAGAAAGATAGTGACCAAATAAAATGGAAACAATAAAATGGACAAGAACAAAATTAAGAAGAAAATTTAAATTTAAAAAGAGGGAAAAAAGGGACAAATGGAAATAAAAAGAAATAGAATCACAAAAGAACTAAGATTAAAGAAAAAATAAGTAAAGAGAAATCAAGTGAGAAATTAATCTAAAAAGGTGAGAAAATCAAGTGGATAAGATAGGAATCTAGAAGTAAATCCACTAGTTTGTTTTATTTAGAATTTATGAACTATTCTTATTTTATCATATTTTATTTTAGATTTACTAAGTATAGAATATCAAATCACTTAAGCAAAACATAGCCCATCAAATTATCATCCAAGCAAAATCAATATTCATGAAAAGAACAAGCAACTAGATAGTAATTCTAAAATTCATAAGAATAACCTATTAAATCATTCAATATAAGTATAGATTATCAAATTATTCTTCAAGCATGATCATTTTAAGCACAAGAGAGCAATTCACAATTAATAAAAGAAATCAAACTAGTTTTATACAATTCTACAATTCCTACCAGATTTTAGTTACACATTTTGGAAAATAAAAGCAAAGAGATAATGTTGATGTCAGTTATCAAATAGGGGGTTTATTTGTGGATAAGAGTAGAGTTAGGATCCTTAAACTCCTTTAGATGATGGGTTCTATAGATTGTTGTTCTTCTCTGCACATGAAGAACTCGTGAGATGGTTCTCCGGTTGTTCCTCCAACGATCAAGTCAGTGTTTAAACTTGAGTGAGAAAATATATGAGAAATAGTTTGAACGATTGATCGAAGTTAAATCAAAAGCAGAAGAAGTTACCTCATGCAGTGCAACTCCCTTTTATAGTAGATAGGAAGGGCATTAAGGTAACTGCTATCGAGTTCAGGCAAGCACCTCACTCAGCAGATATCTTTATAGGTGTCGGCCGCAGGCAAGGATAAGTCATCCAAGTAATTAGTACGAGAGAAACAACAGTTGCTTGGCACTGACTAGGTTTGATGAGTCATGAAGACCATCGAAGCTAGAGCAATGATGACTCAGACAACGTCTTTAAGGTGAGGGTAGTTGCTTTTCGTCGGAGAGTTCGAGGACACACTACCTCTCTAGTCGTCTGGTTGTAGATTGACAAACACTGCATTTTTAATCGGTTACACAAGTTGTCAGCTAAAATAGCGGGCTGAGTGCGGAGTCTTAAGGGCTCGACCTGGAGAATAGATCGACAAGTATTGCCGTTCGAGTCGACCACGTAAGTTGTCGACTTATGGAGACGGCCGTAGGAACAGCTCTAGTTGTTGTGTGCATGAGTAATCAGATTAAACGTGGAGTGGGACACGCATTGACTTCCTAGTAGAGATTAGCACTTGTTTATTTTATAGCTTATAACAGATAAAATCTAGACTAGAGAGCAAGAAAGAAGGAGAAGAAAATATAAGAAAAATTAAAACTAATTACAAAAGTAAGAACAAGAACAATAAAATAAACATCTAAACTATGAGCATAAAAGAAATCTAACTACCTAAAATAAAAATGTAAGAAAGTAAATCTATACTACAAAATAAAAATGTAAGAAAATAACAAAAATAAAAGAGCATGAAAGTAAATCTATTGTACAAGGCATCAAAATAGATCTAATCTACCAACAGGAAAAGAAAAAAAATCATAAAACATAAATTTCTAAAGCAAAAAAATAAAAGAGATAACGAAAATTTTACATTGCAAACGGTTGGCCCCTTGAAAGTAAATATTGATCTTCATCTTCATCTTTATCAACTAATAAAGAGATAAAAAGAAAATTTTGAAGAGGTCATTTTTTTATTAATTGCAACTAAAGTTTATAATTTAGAAGGTCTTTTCAATTAAGAGTAACCCTCCTTTCCAAATAGAGTTTTATAAATTTTTCACAATCAAACCCTCACTCTCTATCCTTATTTATAGAGTATTACAATTAACATTAGCCCTTAGATCAAGCTTATGCCCCAAGTTACACAATTTTAGCCTTTGATTTATAACTGCTTACTAGGTATCGATATCACTATCGATACAAATTTGTATCGATACAAGTAACGATACTAGTATAGATACATGTATTGATACTAGTATTGATACTGATGTCAATATTTTGACACTCAAGATGACTTCGTCTCGTCGAGGTAGATGATTTCATATGTTATAAGTTAGATTCTGCCTTCCAGATTGGGAGATAATGTTATTTCTTTGGGCTGGCTATCCTAAATATAAATTTAATTTAATTTCTTTTCATACTGGATCCTTATTTTTTTAGCTTCTATAGACTGCTTGCCTTGATCCTGGGCTTCACTAAAAGGTTAGAAATGAATAAATTTAAATTCTTTGTTAGCTCCTATTCATTAATTCTTCATTTCCTGTAGATTATGAGAAAAACATATTATTAGTTATATATTTATTTAAATAAAATAGATATAAGGGTATAAAAATGTAATAAAATGTAATGATCAAATACCCTAACACCTAAACTTTTGCTAGTCCTCTAGCAGAGAAAGAAAATAAAAAGGAAAGAAAGAAAAATCTTAACTCACTTTCACAGTAATCATGGCTGTATTTAATGCATACAACAAGCCTTTAAATCCCTAGGTTATCCTAGAGGATAAGTTGTAGTCTCGTAAGAGTTTATAGTGAATGTACCCACAAAATTCACTTAACTTACCAATTAAAAAAATAATAATATATAATTAATTAACTTGATACCTTTAAATAATCTAATTATAGTTAGTTTTTGCTTAAGAAAACTTTTTACTGTATAACTCCAAACTAAATCTTGTAGAAAATATTTTCATTATAGTTATACAAAACTAAGTTCAACTTAAAAATTTAATTAAAGTTTTGAAAACAAACATGCTAACTCTTTGTTTCAAATAATTTTCAAATCTCTTGATCAATTTATTTTTTTTAAAACATATATACAAATATAACTATATAACTATATAACTATATATATATATATATATATTCTTTTTATTCCTTGGTAATTTTGTTGTACTTTATCAGGCTTTCTAAGTGACTATTTAACGAGTTTTGGCCAATGAATCCTAAGCTAATTGAGTTCAGGCTATTAAGTATGAAAATACTTCTCATGCTTAATCATTCGGTCAACTTAGACCTACTAAGATAGAACTGCTATTTGTGAGAAAAATTACAAGAAAATTGAAAAATCAATTAGTATTAATCTCCCTAAGTGACTTAGGAAAAGAATGAATACAATCACTTAAAGTAATCTCTCTCTAACTGACTTAGAAAAAGAAACTATAATTTTCTTATCGGTTTCTTGATTTACGAAATTGAGAAGAATCAACAAAGATCTTTCCCTTTGTTTAATACTGGGTTTTTCTTGGTGGTGATGGGAGTTTGATTTTTGTATCCCGTTGACGATCCGAACAATTGGCTTCGTGGAACTTTGTCTTTAGTTCTTGACTTAACGACTTGGATGAACTTGAAAAGCAAGTTTAGAACTCTAGCCGAATTTAGAACTCTGCAAGAGAGTTAATTTCAGAAAGGAATTTCACTCCTTTTTACTGAAATAAGCCAATGAATTTCCACTCTGATAGACGATCTCAAAGATAGCTAACTCAAGGTGATCTAAAAGCCAACCCCTCAAATCTCCAACCCTTTTTCAGCTGTAAAACCAGCTATTTATAGGGTTTAAGGGGTGTAACTGACCCTTTAATTTTCTCCATAGTGGGGGCTTAATAGCTCCCATTAAGTGGGTAACCGTTCAAGTGATTTAAAATGGTCAAACGCGACGTTCGCGTTATAGCTTCAATACGTGAGGGTAGACCCTCACATTTGGCTTTTGAAACATGGGGGTGACCCTTGCGTTTGGAGTTTGGAATGCGAAGGTGGACCCTCACATTTGGAATAGGGAACGCGAGGGTGAACCATCACGTTTGCCCTTGAAGAGATCATCAATTGTAATATCTTTTTTTAAGTTTTGCTAGGATCATCATCTTGTAATCCTTACATTTAGCTTTTTGAAATGTAAGAGTCGTTAATTTGTAACTCTTATTTGTTTTTATGAAAGTCGTCAGATTGTAACTTTTATCATCAGTGTTTTACGGGGACCAGCTACCTGCAGTAATTTTTAACAGCATACAGAACCACCTCCACGGTTTTTAAAAGTTCGCGGTTGAC